TGAATATGTTCCGCTCTCAAACCAAATCGTGGTTGCCTCAACTAAGATTTGGTAACCATGTGTTGAAAGAAAGCTTATCTGCATTAGCAGAGCTTAATAACATCCTTTTCTGAACCATACGTTAAGTTAAATGGAATTTGTAGAAATATGCTGCAAAGAAATATTTATTAGTATTTACCAAACCCTTCAACTAAATTGNTATCAGCAACAACAACAACAGTTTGGTACGGATTAGTGAAGTGGATACTGATATACAGCATTTCATCATAAGTGGGTGGGGCCACACCCATTTTCTAAAACTTTAATGATAATCCTATTTTGTTCCAAAATTTTAGTTTACATACTAATTTTTAACAATTTGGATACAATATTTACTGAAATATCGTAGATTTTAATTTAAACGCTTGTATACCCAAAATTACTTCTTTAATCATCACTTATATAACACCAATGTAAAGGAAAACAAATGTTTATTCCGAAATATATAACATTCCCGCAGATTTCTAGCAACAGGACCGAAAGGTCCAATAAAACATGACTTTTGCTAATATCTCGAAAACTATTTATTTGNTAAATCGTTCAAATACCCCTATGTGCAATGGCTCAGAGAGCGCTCAGCATTCTTTAGGGGTGGCTCACAAGCATGAATATGTTCCGCTCTCAAACCAAATCGTGGTTGCCTCAACTAAGATTTGGTAACCATGTGTTGAAAGAAAGCTTATCTGCATTAGCAGAGCTTAATAACATCCTTTTCTGAACCATACGTTAAGTTAAATGGAATTTGTAGAAATATGCTGCAAAGAAATATTTATTAGTATTTACCAAACCCTTCAACTAAATTGACGATTTGGTACAACCTAGATGAATATTAGAAGCTTTAATATATTTAGTTATAATTACCAACCCATGGTAATAGTTCCCATTCCTTGGTAAAAGTTCCCAAATATTGTCGAAATTCGGGAACTAAATATCTTTAGTTGTCGAAACTAATCGTTTTTCTCAGTGTATCTATGGCAACTTATTCACATAGATCAATCTCGTTGTGCATATGCGTACATCAGAGTGGTGGCGTTTCCTTGATTTAGACGTACTTATATCCAAAATATGTTGAGTGGCGGAGAATATCAAAATAGGCACTCTTTGCTGATCACCGATATACATATATGTAAATGGGCAAGCATCTTCCGGTTTGGAACTATTTTCTCCTATATTTCTAAACCGCATTCAATGACTGTTACTTTGTTTTTAGTTTTCGGGAAAAGGTAAAGTTCTTAATGAAAATTTGAAGATTTATTTTTTTAATTTTGTACAAAGTTTGGAACTTTGGTTTTTAGGGCTTCTGTAAGAGGACAGTCTCTTCTTCTGGTAAAAAAATAAAATTAATTTACTTAGGAACATTAGAATTAAATGGGGAAAAATCGATGGTAAATTTGTTTTAACATAAGCTATACATTTGTAATTTAGTTAACTTTCATTTCTTTTCATCGTTTCCTAACAAAAATACAATGAAACATTTAAACATTTTTTGCTGAAATCTTGGATCTCTCATCCCTTATGGATTTTTTATAAGCACTTCGCAACCTCCAAAGTCGGTAAATTATTTAAATAGCAGTTTACCAGATACGCTCGTGGCGAAGTCTCGCGCAACCGAGTGCAGCTAGTTTTAATATATTTTATTTTATTATGTTAAGCATTGTTTCGTACATATATTCCAGTACAAGCAGAATTAAATATTGGTATAGGTGATATTATATTTAAGTATATTTTTAGTTAGTTTGAGCCAAAACATTAAATAAAATCTCTTCATGGTTATAAAAACGTACATATATTTGAGCAATGAAATAATAAATAAACATTTGTATAAATAGACAAAAATATGTGGATACAAGTTCTGTGGCACATAAATAATCTTTATCAACAGCAAATTTGATATGTTTCTACGCACTTTTACAGTACGCTACGTACATGTTCGTGGGTAACCGCGCTCACGTTCTGTTCTCTGTTGTGGGTTATTTTTTCTCTTCAAAAGTAAGAGTTGATTTGGGACTCTTTCAAAGTGGAGAGGGTTATTTTCGATATCTGCTATTGCGAACATAGCGCTCGGGTACAAAAAATATACATATTACATATGCAAATTTTCCAAAAATAGATGTTAACCCCCGTTCAGGTGCGGTACTGAATTTGTTACCTTTTTTGAGCTCGAAATGTCGGCCAGTATCAAAAACACTTTTAAGACCATTATTAACAACTTGTTGCATGTTCAAATTTTCTTGGCATTATGTAGTATGTTGATGTTTGGCCCAGTTTGTTCATTCATAGGTACGGTGACCATTCGTACAGATTTTGGCGGGATAGTACCGATTTTCGGTGTTTTCTTTATTCATTTATTAATACTCTCCCTGTACTCTGGCCCAAAAACAATTTTTCGTACAAGCGAGGCAGCACTTTCGTTATCACAAAGGACATAGAATATTAGGAAGCCATAAACATATACAGCATCCTTATTAATAATATAATAATATAATTAATGAAATTATAAAAAATAATTCTAATACCCTCAAAAAATCGTAGGTATGAAAAACTTAAGCTGTAGAGAGGAGAGGGTGGCAAAAATATAAATAGGGAAGAGACATTTTAGCTTTCTTGGCTTACGCCTTTCGGTTTTTAATGCTTGTTACTTTTTATAAAAATGTGGCTCGTTATCTAACAAAGACCATATAAGTTAAAATTTCAAACTTTATACACAAATTAAAAATTTTTGAGATTTTGAATTAGATTTCTTAGAAATATTCTGAGTATGCTGTAACCCGTTCATTTCAAAATGCAAATTTTAATTAGCTATGACTTACCGTTGATATTTGGTAAATTTTTTTGGAAGGTGATGCTTATAGAAATTAAATTGTTGAACATAATATGTATGGAAGAAAATGCGCGACAAAAATTGCCATAAATCAACTGTAAGTCCAAGCTTGTTCCAACTTGCACTTTATTATACTAAAATTTAATTGTAGCCCATTAGCATACTCAAAACAGTTCTAGAAAATCTGATTAAAATGTTTCAAATTGTGATGCAAATTTTGAAATTTTGATTTAGATGATTTTTTTACATAGTAAGTTATATTTTCATTAAAAAAATAATAAACATTTTGAAATTTGTTTCTCTTTGTTTTGTTTTAAATAAAACTGTATTATGCATTTTTATTCTAAAAACAAAATTGTATGCTCAGACTCGATGCTTTAGAAATGTCCCGATTTTTGTCCACGGAAATCTGGTCACCGTATTCATTGGTGATATGGCGAGAAAAGAAAGGTTGAGAACTACTCGTCTAATGCATTTACGTACATACATACCGTGTGTACATGCATAAAACACAGTGTTGCCAAGTTTTGAATTTGAAAAAGCACTAAAACCCGAGAAAAATCGTGTTTTTCTCGAAAAATGCACCAAATTTGTATCGGAGTATTTAATGGACTTTATATCAGAGACCCAGAATAATAATTATTTCATGGTGGGGTTTTAAAAAAGTCATCCAAATTTTCGTAAGAAATAAGTCTTTGATAATAATTAGTATGAGAAATTTTTTTAAGTCATCGATAAATATTGTTTTAAGACTTATATTAGAAGTCTTTTCATAATAATTATCAGCGAGATAAATATTTTTTCAAAGACTTTAATTTTGAGACCTATATTATAAAAGTCTTGACATAATAATTATCATTGAGTTAAATATTTTTAAGTCTTCAAAGACTTTTATTTTGAGACTTATATTATAAGTCTTTTGATAATAATTATGAGTGCGAAAAAATTGTGTATATAGTACCGAACGGGTCCCAATAAATATATAAGTCTTAAAATAAAAGTCTTTGAAAACTTAAAAATATTTATCTCTGATAATTATTAAGAAAAACTTTTGTGATATAAGTCTTAAAATAAAAGTCTTTGAAGACTTAAAAAACTTATCCCTCTGATAATTATTATGAAAGGACTTTTATAATATAATATAAATATATAATAATAATAAAAATTATAGATGACTCGAAAAATATTTACTTAATATAATGATTATTGATTGACTTTTATTCTTTTCTCTTATAATAGTTAAGTCTCTGCTTTATATGCATACAATTTTTTTTTGTAGGGATGCTGATTTAAATTGATAAAAATCAATGTTGCTCGGCGGTCGGATTTTTTCTGTTTTCTATAAATTCAAATATTTTCGTCCAAGCGACGATAACATTCTTGTTCTTATTTTCTGATTTGCAGCTGTGTCCAGCGATGCCGCTTCGCTTAGATTCAAGAAAGATTTAGAAATTTTTCTTCGTTTTGCATAATTTTTTCTACAACTCCTGTCTAACGAAAGCAAAAACAAAAAATAAAGTTTCATGAACTACGTAGTAGTTTAAATTACACTGCAGGCTCTTATGATCTCGTGAACTAAAAGAACATAAAAAAATTTTCTTTCCGTTCGTAAACATAACGAAATTTGATTTCCCTTTTTAATGTGCCTTATTTGAGCGCACAGTGGGAAAAATCTTACTGTGTCAAAAATTAGTTGAGCCCAAGATGTATTTCTGCATCAAAAAGAAAATTTTGAAAAAAATGTCGCTTACGTTATTTTGGCGGTTAGGGATCGATATGCTCGCTTACGATTGTCATTGTGCCATGATTTTGTTTCCATTTTTGTAAAGTTGCTAAAATATTTACTATTGCTATTACTTTGGCTTCGATTTTTTCAGATTTACAGATTTGGTGTCTTTAAATTAAAAAAAAAGGACCAAAAAACACACCAATCACCAAATTAAAAAATTTTCGCGTTTTGAATAAAGAAAAGCACTAAATTTAGTGCGAAAAGCACCCAGTTGGCAGCAGTGATAAAACAAGTATTGCCACTGAACTGTATACAAAATGGCTTTTACCCACCCTATTGCAAACTACTTTTACATACGTTTCTTTTTTAGATAGTATACGAGACTACCCCCAAGTTAACAAATATTCCATTAAAAGAATTTACTAAGTAAAAAGTCATAAAAAGGCAACGATTGTCGGCTCTATCAAATTCCACCTATTCGCGGCTTCAAAATCGCCCCGCGAAGGCCGTGAAAAGCGGCAAACTTTTAAATCAGAAGAGCATTCTGATTTTTTATTATTGCGTTCATTTATGTTTGCACATATGTACGTGCATGTTCATTTGTATATACATTTATGTGTAAACATTTGTATGAGTGGAGAATTCGTTTGTATTCTATCGCTGGGCGCATGCACTTTTCGTATAAACGCAATGAGAATTTGCAGCGGCTTCAATTGAAAGGATCCCATTTCAATGGCAAAGGTTCAGTTTTACTTGTGCTCGCCTTGTATTCCGGTTCGGCGCTTCAAATTTTTTCTTTTTAGCTTAAGAAAATATTTCACTATGATTTTGTGACGCGACTGATAGCACCATAATTGACAATGCTTTCCTTAATTGGGCGTATATATTTATAAAATTAAGCAGTTTGTCAACAGATTGAGGCCACTTGAATCTTCACACGTCACCAATCAAGTATCTGTCACGTAATCAAGAAGCTTATTGTATGGCTCCTTTGATCAGTTTTAATTATGTATGTGTTTTTTCTAGAACAAAGTGATTTTGGGTTCGGTCGATTTTAAGGTAAGTGCAGTTATAATTTCTAACTTAATTCACTCGTATTTATTCACAAAAAACAGGCTGTGTAGTTAACTTTAACTTTGAATTAAGCAACAGGTGCAATAAAGTAATTAGTGAGCAAATCAAATAGTCGACGTTCAATTATACGAATGCTCCTTCGGATAAATGTCGAATAATATGTATATTCTAGTTGATACACTAGAGATTGTAGTGCATATATTACGAACACTTTACGCAAAATTTTACCATTCGATAAAATGAAATATGTTTTTAATCATTTCTGCTATTATTTATGTATGGAGAGAAATTCGCCAAGTGTTCCAGGAAAACTTTTGTGTCAGCATTTTGTTCAAACTCCACCACGTTGTTGCTATGGTTACTGTGAACCAATGTGTAAAATAATTTCTTTCAACCGCGGTTTTTTGTCGAGTTATACGAGTTTAAACATGCAAATTTCAGTCCTTTTTCTTAGTCACAAGTTTTCTTAACAAAATGCTGACATACAATTTTTTCCTCATACACTTAGCGAATTTTGCCCCATATATTGGAATGGAATATAATTGTGGGTGGCCGGAAAAACCAAAAACAAATTTTTCCAAGCACTCAGGCAGTATTGTATTGCCCAGTATACTTAAGGTCAAGAGACAGGATTTATAGGAAAGGGGTATATAGATGGGGTGGGAATTCATTGCTGCTCTGAAAACTTACCAGACTGCATTATGAATTTTAGAAGTTTGTTGAGGGAAAGAGAATGTACATACCTCGTCCATTCTCAGTACATGCGACCCAAAAATGTTCGTTCTGAGCCTGGCCAAGGGCGGACAGCAGCAGAGAAAATTTTCTGTACTATCCTAGTCCTCCAAATACGAGGTACACAGTGGATCGACGATGATGCCTATGGTGACCATATTTCGTCTTCATGGATTGTGCCCCGTAATCAGTCCTATCAGGGCTCGTAGATGACTCCTTCTTTGTCTGAGAAGGGATTTTGCTACCACCCTGTCAGACCTTTTTAGGAAACCCTTAGTTATTTTGCAGGTGTCAATAGTGCACCAACGGGTTTAATGAGTTTGGTTTATGAGATCCTTCATGCACCCGATCGTTACGGCTATGTTTGGCCCTAAAATTGGCTATGGTCCAGTTGGGCGCTCCAGAGAACCGCAGTTCGTCAATTCATCAGCCAGTTCGTTACCTTGAACACCGTAGTTTCCTGGCACCCACACAAGTTCAAGCTCATTTCACCTTGTAACGGAGTTCAGCTTAACTTACATTCCTGGACTATCTATGAAGAGGTGCGAGCGGATTACAAAACTATTAGAGCAGTTTGTCTGTCACTGCAGATCCTGATTTTATGTCCGCTACAACTTTCGCCACTTATCCATACTCCCACTTTCAGTATTGCAAAGATTTCCGATTGAAAGACCGTTGCCATTGCACTCAAAGCGGTAAAGCATCTGAAGTTACCGTCTAGATGCCATCCAGCTCCAGTAACGTTTTCAATCTTTGAGGCGTCGGTATAGAAAGTTTTCACCGAGCTTTCCAAAAGAGTGCCTGGATATCTCTATTGTTCCCTTGTAGGAAATCTAACGACGTACTTTCTTCCAAAGGAGACTCCAGGTATCAGTTTGTCATTAGGTGCCAACAACAAAGAATATTGCTCTGGCAACCTTCTGAAAAACTCTCTCTGCCCAGGACTCCGATTGTCGTGCCACATACCATAGAGTGCAGTCGACACATCGAGGCAAATTCAACAAAGCATTAAGAGCCGGTCCTGACGTTATAATGGCGCCCGTAATGCCTATACACACGCTCTTTTGTAGCCCGTTTTACGCAGAAACCGTGGTTTTGACCATGCAAGACCCTGCAAGCTGAACAATTCATCAATCTTATTTAGGATTCTCTGTGCCCTAACACAAACCTCCCTGAGAGATTTACCTGACGACAGTGCACCAACATCATCCCCGTAAGCTTGGATGTGAACGAAGTCTTGCATTTCCGTTAGTAGGGATTCCACTACCAAACACCACAAGAGAGGTGAGAGCCGCTCTGAGCATCCTAACCTCTGCCGTGGTACAAAGGCTAGCTTCATCCACCACGGCCAGTAATCTTCTAGATAACTTGAAGTGAATGGTTTCGTCCACTCCAGGTCTTCTGGCCGCAGAGCACATAGAGTCAAAAGTAGCGCCGTAAAATGCCCCTCGATATCAGTAAAGACTCCCATCATTAGCGCAACAAGGGGTGGGTTTTGGGGTTCAAACCCCCCCTAAAGCTAATAACCTCAAATACAATTTGTATCTTAAAGCTAAGAATCCAGCTCTCAAGGAAATTATAAGAAATATTTATTATAATTTCTGTTGCTTGAAAAATCGCTTTGCTTTTGCTGTAAATTTTCATGAGGGAATAAATATACGAGCATTTTTTTTTTTGAGAGCTGCAAACTGATTTAAGAAATTTTGGTAGAAGAAAATTTCTTTTCCATTTCTCGTCCGTCCTTTTATATGAATTTTTCATTTTTCTTGAGAGTTCAGTTAATTTTTTCGGTATTTGAAATATTAAAAAAATTTAGCAATCGTGAAAAATCACCATCTCTATCGAAAACCAGAAATCGAAAAAATGAACATAGAAGTGCAAAAATTCATGGAATCAATAAATTTAATTTTACTGCCACTTTTGAAAGTTGAGCGCATCTTGAGTTTATAGAACTTTTTATTAAACAAGTAGTTTTTAAGGAAAGAACACAACCGACTTCAATTCTCATATTCAAATTTAGGGGTACCGTTAATTTCTTCATGATCCAATCATCGGATCTCTAAAACAAAGTACGGGACGATTATCGACGACTATTACGGGACGGTGCTATCTTTATAATAAAAAAAGGATTCTTGAAAACGGTTCACGTGGTCCAAAGTTATGTATTCCGGCGAGATGATAACCTCCCTTTTTTTTGAAGTCGGTTAAAAGCGTTTGAGTTCTGTTAATCTGTAAATAAAGTGCAGTTTATGAATTTTAAAACGTTTATTTATTTATTACATACTGTACATAAAACTTGCATAAATGTATTTTAAAGAGGGTATTATCTGAAGCAAATTTTCAGTATTTTCCGGTGATATATTTTCAGAAATATAAAACCCCCCCTAAAATATATTCCTGGGTGCGCCCCTGACTCCTATTGTGTACTCACCTGCTTCCAGCCCCACTTCAATCTTTTTTACAAGGTCATGTAGAGCTGATTCAAAGGACTTTCCGCTTTGTTATGTATGTTAATGAACACTAAGGGGGATATTATCCAAAATCCTTAATCTAATGTACTTCTCGACCGTGCGCTCCAGACTTTTCAGCATGAAGTGTGCCAAACTGATTGGCCTAAGGCCTTAAAGACTAGGGCCCCTATAAGCCTGTCTCCCCCACACTTTATCATTATCGGATACACACCAGCTAGGCTGGCTGACGAAGTCGTCAAAAGAGGCTAAAAAAAATCTCACTGACTCCTCAGTCACCACCCGTGATGCCTTGTACCAGTTTAGTCTGGTGGCTGTTCCCGTCCCGCTGTCCTTCACCATATCTCTGCCTGCGTCAGGAATTATCCTGCTACCCGGAAAATGAGTTTCCAAGAGAGTTTTGTATGTGTCTTGTAGCGACATGGTATAAGTTCCATCGGATTTTCGGAGAGAATCAAGTCTAACCGTAAGGTCCTGTTGAAGTACTACCTTACACAGCCTGGCAGACTCTTTCATTTCGTGGATATCATTGCAGAAGCTTAATATTGACATGCGAATTTGCCTCTTATATTCCTTCTGCGTGTTATAACATTCGGACCAGCCCTCCTCTTTTCGGGTTTTCAAAGCCCTATATAGAAGTCTCATGGACCTTTTTCGAAGATTGATAGGCTAAGCGTTCCACCATGGGTCCGCTTTTCCCTGTCATCTTCTTCTAAGCGGACATAAGTACTTGCTCAGACAACCAATCGAAGTACTCGTTACCTCGCAGGTCGCCTCTTCAGTTGATTTAATGTTTTTGAGTTTAGGGGGATTTGGTATTCTTGTTTCAAGGAGCAATATTAATAATGTTAATATTAATAAGCCACAATAAAGTTGACAAATAAATAGTTTGGGATAAAGCTGCCTGACACTATACTATGGATCTATTTTATATATGGAATTTCAAGGAGCAATATTAATAATGTTAATATTAATAAGCCACAATAAAGTTGACAAATAAATAATTTGGGATAAAGCTGCCTGACACTATACTATGGATCTATTTTATATATGGAATTAACAATAACAACCACGCTGTCAAGTTTAAATAGCGGCAAATCAGCTGTAATTGATAGTAGTACGTTGAATAAGGAAATGAATTAGCAACAAGAGTTTACGGGGTGTGCATAGCTCCTTGCTTAGCGCTTCTGACTGCACATCAATGATGCGGGTTCGATCCCTGCTGAAGTCTAGAAAAAAAGTCTGATGAGAAGATTTAGTGATCTCCGAAAAAGCTGCTATAACTTCTACCGCTTAGACTTTGTTGGTTTTTTCATTTTTTCTTAATAAACAATCGTGATAAAAAGCTCAATAACGCTATTGATAACATAAGTTTACTTCAAAGTTTTTTCATTTCGTAGTTTTTCTCGTTGCGCCTAACAATACATAAACTATGTAAATACATATGTACATATGTAAAAATGCTGTGGCATTATTTGGGAAACAATACGTAAGATTTGGCAATTGTCACTCATTACACTATGTAACAAAATCAAACTTGTTGGCTCGGTATTGTGTAAAATCAATGCAAGTAATAGTTTTAGATGTCAATAATCTATGTTAATGGCATTTTTCCAGTTAAGCGCATTTATGGTAGATATTCTTAATTGAATCCTTGCACACAGTGTATTGTGTAATTAGCAGAGGTCGAAAATATCCCTCTCCACTTTGAAAGTGTCCCAAAATAACCGTCACTATTTAAGAGAAAAGATAGCCCACAAAACAGAAACGGTGGTTTATTTTTTG